CGCCCCACCCCGCCCGCCCCGCTCCCCGCGGGCCGTGGCCGTGCCGCGCAGTGTGCGTCTGGAGAAGAGCTTGCATGGCGCTTCTCTAGCTTTGTTGATGTCCCCCGCTGGACATCGCGGCAGTCGTTCCCACGGTTGGACAGGCGCGCACCCCAGCGTCTTCGGTGGCGGGGCGGGGTGCAAAAGTGCTTATGAATTAGGAAACGGAAAGGGCACGCAAACAGACGTCATTCGCGCCGGCGGCGCGGGGCCTGTATTTCCCACAGACCCGCGCCCCGGGCGAGCCCTGTTCGCGGAGCGAGCATTCCCGGAAAGTCAACTGAGGAGAACCGAATTAGAAGGAAAACGCTTTCCTCATTTGTAAAACAATCTTACCGCGCGGGCTTCTTTTCGCATAGCTCTGTTAGAGAAAAGACTTATTTAGTTAAGTTTGAGCTGTGGGCTGTCATTATATCAATGGAATGTCAATGCATTTACGCTCCGCGGGGAGCGATGCCCGCCTGGCTGTTGGCTTGCGCTCCTACAGATAGTCAAGCCGCACGTATCCTGTGCAATACACCCTCCCATCCCCCCCCCAAAAAAACCCCAACAAAAACTTGATTTTGACATCAACTGACATCAGTTTGTAGGTAAAATCCTGTCGAGTGGGATGTTCGTTGATCTCTACTTGCAGAAACCTCATGTCATGCTGCGCCCATTCATCTCCTTAAAGCCGGCCAATCATTGATTTAATTTGACGCCGCACTTGAAAACTCTAATCAAAACTATTGAAATCATGAATATTCGGAAAAGAGGGGGTGCTCTATGCACCCCGTTCTTGAAGAGTGGGCAGGTACACCCACTGCCGTTAGTGATCGCAAATCGACAATATGACTGCAACGCAACTTAAGTTGCGTCCTTGTCCTTTGCAAATCGCAGGGGGTGCCTACCCGATGGTTCATGTCGTGGTCCATCTTGAACCGCATCCGTACGTATAAAAGCAGGAAACCGCACAGTTCCTTCGCGGCACCGCAACGCTTTAGTTGACCGGCGTTTAGTGCGCCGCTCGCTCAAGTCTCCCAGCCCGCTGCCCCTGTACCGCCCCCGCACCGCCCCTGTTCCACCCCCGCGCCGCCCCTGCACCACCCT